TTGATGCATGCAACAATTATTTAACAAGAAGTACGTTTATAATAAAATTTTGGAAAATGGGNTAAAATCGGACAATAACCACGCCCACATCCCATATAACGGTAATTTAGAGAAATACGAAATCTTCGATAAATCGGTAAATATTGAAGCTAGTGTATTCAAAATTGATGCATGCAACAATTATTTAACAAGAAGTACGTTTATAATAAAATTTTGGAAAATGGGCGTGTCACCGCCCACTTATGATCACATATATGTATCTCGCTAACCGTTCTAGCAATTTGTACCAAACTCGGTATAGTTATTGTGCTTGCCACACAAAGGCAAACTCTTGAAAATTGCTGAAATCGGACTAAAATTACGGCCGCTTTTCATATAACGGTAAATTTCAGAAATGCTTGAAATTTCAATATTTCGAAATTTAAGGACGCTAATTTACTTAAAATTTATACACCCCGGCTTACCATGTAGCGGTAGCTTTCGAAAAGGTGTAAAACATATATTTAATACTTGCGCCGGGTATTTAATGTTCGGCTCCGCCCGAACTTAGACTTTCTTACTTGTTAAAGTTGTTTTTAAAGTTGTTTTTAATAATAATAATAATAGATTAGCGCTTACACATACATATGTTAGTGTTTGGCATATGCTTTGTTAGCTCAGGGAGCGTAGAACACAAAGAAAATGCAAATCTTACATGGACATATATCTTGCCGTCGGTAATGCAGTCACCGTATTAATTCAAATAAGTTCTTATTCAATTTAAATTGCATTCCTATCTGAATTAGGGCCGGTTACTCAATGTCTGGTTAACACTAATCTGCGGTTAAACATCGTTATCGACGTTACCGACTCCCTGTTATATGCATGGAGTCGAAGACGTCGGTAACGATGTTTAACCGCAGATTAGTGTTAACCAGACATTGAGCAACCGGCCCTTAGTATGGTGCCTGCATTACCGATAAGAAGATATATGACCATGCTAGATTTGCATATTTTCTGTATTCTACGCTCTCTGAGTTTTGGTCAGTGTTGTCATCGAAAATTGCCTTGATCCAAGTTAAGTTTGGGAACCAACCCAAGGACTTAATCCGAGAATTGCGAATAATTGCGAGATAATTCCGAATTAACGAGTTTATCTGGATCAACTCTGCCGTCTGTCTATGCTTTAACTCCTCTATCTATGTGCATATATAGTGAAGGTTAAACAATTTTTTAGCCCCCAAACAACTAAATAATTTAATATGCAGTAATACGCCGAAGTAAAATTTTAGCCGCAGACAGCATTGTTCTTATTTTCCTAATTTCCTTGTCCACGTTGCACAATTCAGCAGACGTTATCCATTGTATGTCCAATCCATGCATATTTTAGGTCTGACTAAATCTAGTAAAACAGTCAAAAAGTAAAAAAAAATCGCTCAGTGCTAGACAGTACGGGAGCGCTTTCTAGTAAAAAATGATAACTTCTGACAAATTCAACCTAACCTCCAAATTTTGTTTATTTCGTAAGTAATCACACTCAGCTCACACACGTAGTTAACTCAAAATACTTACAAATTCATTAGAGCCCACTCAAACAAGTTATTAAATATTTTATAACATTTTTCTTTTTCTTCGGACTAAAACTGGTAACTTCTGACAAAGAGAGGACTTTATTTGCTCTCGCATTTGTCCACTCAGTTGCCAGAGAACCGAGTAGGGATTCGATTTCCAGTAAAATCTGGTAAATTCAGGTAATACGGGATCACAACTTTTTTGTCCAACTGTCAAGTTCATCAATTTTTGTCGGCCTTTTCAGAGTGTCAATTTTATATCTTCTTTTTAAATAACCGCAAATTTATATCCAGTTACTCGAATATCTGATTAAAAAATCTGAGTGAATTAACGCATATTAATCGGATATCCTGATGGCAAAATTAACGGATATGAACTGCATATCCGGATAACAAAAGAGAACGGATGTTAACCAAATATCCGGATATCCATGCAAAGAACTTTTTAAAAATCGCATACGCATTTTTTATTTTATTAACAATTAGAGGTATGTACTTATAAATATACGTGCATTTTCTTTCAGGCTTTTTTCAACTTTCTTGTAATTTGCTGCTTTTCAAGCGTCGTAAGTATTGCAAAAGTTATTCACTTCTCGTATGTATGTGTATATTTGTATGTAAGTATGTGAATATTATATTATTTTACTTAATTTATTTTCATTATATAATGAGTAGAGTAGACTTTATTACTATAAATTAAACATACTCTGCTTTGGTTTAAGAAAAAAACTCTCCGTGTACTGTTAAAAATATTCTACCTTTTTACAAATATCATAGTGAAATATTAAAAAAAAAATAAATAAAAATAAAAATCAAATTTGGTGCTACTTGCTTCCCTTGTATATTTGTTGCATACCAAAGCATCAATACATCCTTTTCAGGGCCCAATAATCAGCGCTTATGTTTCTGATTGAAGCAAACGTTTTAATTTATTTTTTATTGTAATTATAAAATTGCAGTTTAAAAAGAAAAAATCACATTTATTTTTTACGCTTTTTGGAGTATGTATTTAGGTTTTTACATATTGAAATTAATTTACAATTTGTAATTTATAGGGCATTTCCACCAAGCCTTAACTGCAGTTAATGGGCGTAAAAACGAGATTATCACTAGAAGGGGGTAAGTGGTTATATTAAGTACAAGCAAACGAAAGTATGAAAGCAAAAAGTAAGAAATAAACTTTGCCAATCCCCCCATGTTAAAATAATTGGTACTTATTTGACCTCTTAACTACAGTTAAGCTTTTGGTGGAAATAGGCTATTATGTATATATACAGTGAAAGCTCCCATAAGCGGACACCGATGGTCACCTACTTTTTGTCCGCCTATGAGAGATGTCCGCTTATGGAAATTTCGTAAAAAATAAAATTAAAATTCAAGTGCGAAAAATTTAAATTGCGGGTTTCTAAGTTAAAATAATATTTTTTCTTCAATAGACAGAAACAGGATGAATTAAGAATAAATTCAAATTGATAGCGTTTTCTTTCCGTTTCAAGAAGAGGGCAACGAAAAGCCAACACTTTTTCTAGAAACAAAAAATATCTTCGAATATAGACTATGTTCTTGTGTACATATGTAGAAGCGCAAGAGTCAACATCTGACTGAAAAAAAAAACAAAATTGACCGCTTTTTAGAGCTTCGCGTCACCTTATGGGAGATTTTTTTTCCATAACTGGACATTTTTGAGTGTCCGCGTCCGTTTATGGGAGAGCATTTTGTATGGAAAAAAATCCAAAAATTTTTCATTCCTAAGGATGTGTCCGCTTATAGGAGATATTCGCTTATTAGAGCGTTCGCCTATGAGAGGTTCTACTGTATTTGAATTGAAATAATTGACTTACTGCGAACTCAGAACCAGATTTTACAATTTATAATTTAAAGTTAATATTTAAATCGAAATAACTGACTTACCTTACTCTAACTACCTCCAAGCGGATACGAACCTGCGATCTCAGAACGAGTAATCTTCACACTACGCCACAGCCGGCATTTGTCAGGAAAGCAATTAAATGCGTTTTAGTGATAATTCAAAGGCATATTTCGCTTCATATTACATACCATGATACAAAAACAGCAAGGTAGCGCATAATTTTGTACAATTTATAAAGCTCTAAAAACTTTATTTTTTGTCAAAAATTTTGAGTCTTTTTGTATCATGGTACTTACAAACATACATATGTACATATTTTTAACGAGAAAATCAATTCCAAATCCAGACTTTTAATGGCTTCCCATCTCTGTCCCTGTCAGATAACCACCGAACCAGTTGTTCTCGTGCATGGCGGTGCAGGTAATATTAAAGACGCCGACGTTCCGTCAGCCTTGTATGGTGTCAAACTGGCAGCCCGTGCCGGCTATGAGGCAGTAAAATGCGGTGGCAGTGTCATGGATGCTGTACAGGAAGCGGTTCGTTCGATGGAAATTAATCCCCAATTTAATTCTGGCTATGGGTCGGTGCTCACCTGGGAAGGAAAAGTAGAAATGGATGCTGCAATTATGAGTGGTATAGACTTGAACGCAGGATGTGTATCGGTAGTGAGAGATAACGGGTGATTTTTTTGAGGTTAGGATTTTCATGCATTAGTATCTAATGCATGAAAATCCTAACCTCAAAAAAATCACCCGTTATTTATCATCCCGTCGATTTGGCACGCCGTGTTATGGAAAAAACGCGTCACAAGTTCCTCTCTGGTGAAGGTGCAATGCTCTTCGCTGAGGAGGAGAATTTTCAAATTCTGCAGGAGGGGGCTTTGGTAACTAACAAATCCCTGCAAGCACTAGAAGACTACAAAAACAGCTTCATTGTAGCAGCACAAAAACTATGCTCCACCGATTTGAACCCTGAATGCCTAAAGAATTCCATATCGTCTCCTGTGCTGCAAACTTTGCTGAGTGAATACGGCTCGCCGGGTACAGTAGGTGCCGTTGCAATTGATGAGTTTGGCAATTTGGCGGCTGCTACATCTACGGGTGGTTTAACAGGTAAAATGTCGGGACGTGTGGGCGATTCGCCACTATTGGGTGCGGGCACATATGCTGATAACGAAGTGGGTGCTATCTCGGCAACAGGTCATGGCGAGACTATAATGCGGTACAATGTTGCTTCCCGAATTTTAGCTTCGATCAGGTATGAGAATATGACGGCAAAGGAAGCGGTCTCACAGGTCTTGAACGATATGACACAGCGATTCGGGCAGACCGCCGGCGTAATAAGCATCGATAAAAATGGCAATTTAGGTATTGACTTTACATCCACTCGCATGAGTTGGGCCTACCAACGTGGCGATGAATTACACTACGGTGTTGATAAGGACGAGGACAATGTAGATATAGTCGGGGAACCACGTCTAAGCACTCTAGACTGGTGTGTTTAGGTTATGTGGGTAATACAGATGAGAATGAGTCGGGGTTTTTTGAAGAAAAATTTCAAGTAATAAATTTCATGTCAACATTTGGCAAATTATCTTTTTATCTCCGTTTATTAAATGGAAAGGCATCCAGATAAGGCTTCACAAAGTTTTCCGTCTATTGCAGTTATTGGGATCGAGCGAATGGTATGAATGTACATCTCTAGAAATTTTCAGTTTGGATTACCAACATAAAATTTCAAATTTATTATTTCATTAGTAACTATAACCCAATGTGCAATGAGGTACATATGGTCGTTGTTGTGGGTATGCAGTTAAAGTTTCACGGCTATACTCAATCCCGACTCTTGCGTCCTCGTTCGCGCACTCCGGGCAAACAATCCGAGTTGAGCCTTGGGTCACAGCACAAAGAGAAGGAGCTTTGGTGGGGCCATTCCGACATCTTCGGTTTAAGGGCTCACTGAAGTCGGCGGCGTCTGCTCACCAGTAGGTGTGGCTGCAAGCGGGTGTCTGCTTTGGAGAAGCGCATCCCTATATAAAAGAGTATTCGGTTGCGAAACCACGCCCGTCCCAGAATGGCTTGTACGCTGGGTTTGGGACCCCTTCCTGTGAAAAAACAAAGTCTCGTATGAGACCACCCTTATGATGACGACCACGGCAAACGTTTAAAGGACTACGATTTGAGGGCATGCACCTAGAATGTCCAGACTCTTAATGGGGAAGGTGTCTCTGCCCGGCTGGTTTATGTCCTCGTAAGGACGAGAGCTAACCACACCGCCATCCAAGAAATGCGTTTGACGTGGGTAGGCAAAAAACCTCTGTGGCCTTGCGACGTCTACTACAGTTCTCATGTCAAGGAGCGCAAATTAGGTGTTGAATTTGTGGTGAGAGAGAGACTCCGTCGACAAGTACTGTCATTCACCCCGGTGGCCGAGCGTCTAGCTACAATCCGCATCAAGGCGAGGTTCTTCAACATCTTGTTCACCTGCGCCCATGGAAGAGAAGGATGACGAATCCAAGGATCTTTTCTATGAGCGCTTGGAGCGCACGTACGAGCGCTGCCCTCGACATGATATCAAAATCTGGCTTGGCGACTTCAATGTCGGTTGGGAAAGGAAGGGATCTTTGGAACCACCGTCGGAAAATTCAGCCTCCACGACGAAACGTTCTACACCAGATTGCGGGTGATCGACTTATCATACAAATATCCACCAAGCTACGCCGCTGTCTCCAGATCGAAACCAAATCGATCATGTTGTGGTAGACGAAAGAACGCATCCAGTGTTTTGGACGTACGCACGCTTCGAGGCACAAACATCTACTCCGACCAATATATTGATGCAGCCAAGATACGTGCCCGTCTCTGTGCATAAAAAAAATGTTCACCCAAAAGTGCAAGGAAAACTTAACGTCGAAAAGCTGCAATCACAACAGAAAGCCAATGCATTCTCTACTCGACTCTCACACCTGCTCTCTGATAGCACTCTTTAACAAACACTGGCCAATCTTCCACTGTGTCATCGATATCTGCTAACCGTTGTAAAATCTTAAGCTTAACATTTTTTAGGTGCGTTTTTCCAACAGAAACCAGCAGCTTCCCCTCAAAATGAAATGTCACTTTGCTCTCTCAATTTCCCCTACTTTGAAAGTTTTTTGCGTACGCGAACGCAAAAACTTCTAAGTTTTGGTTAAACATGAACAATTAACAGCTACGCGAACGAACCTAATATAATGATTACACTGGTTTACAGCAAAAATGTTCTATCCATAGAAAAAAATAATTAGCTCGATTTTCGGAATCACTGAGCAATTGTAGGTATTGGATAGTGGAATCTGGAGAAAAAAACAATCTAAAATTTGTGATCCAGTGTTATTAATTAGATCGTGCTTTTGTTTTAAGAGAACAGTTTATTAGTTAAATACCATCGTATAGGAAAGCGACTTTTTTATATTAAATAAATTTCGCTGCATTGTCATAATATTCATACTGATATTTATGCGATATTTATGTGTTTTAATCTATTTGAAAATTCATTTACATTATTGCATTATTTTACCTTTACTTTTTTATAAAAGTTGTGGTGCACCTTAAAATGAATTCCTAGAATTGAAACGGTAATAGGCCCAGGTACGCCCTTTTAGTTTTTCTTTTACTAAAGTATGTAGCATCACGTAGGTGCAATGAACTATTTAGTAAAGAACCGCATTTATTTTTTATAGCTCTGTATGTATTTCGCATATTACTAAAAAATTTGGTTTTGTAGATAGGCTCCTCTGGCCCTCATGGCATTATATCGAGCACTAACCGTCAAAAAGATATAAACGACATTTTTTAAAAATTCTCTTTTGAATGCAGAACATCCTAGAGCATCTAGATGCATTATTAGCAAAAATATCCTATGGGGGAAAAATCTGTCACGTCCGATATGTCACCTCCGTTATCACATTTTAGTTCAAAATCAAAACAATGAATTGGTTCTGATTAAAAATGAATTGCTTGTAATGGTCCGTAATTTGACTTTATTTAAAGAATGTTCGCAGAGTTTCGCTTATTTTTACATATACTCTGAAACCACTTGTTTTTGTCACGTGCGTTATGACCCTTTCACAGATTTTCTCGACACCAGTGTTTAAAGCGCACCTAATTTTTTTTGTCCACCAAAGGACGGTATAAACGAAATTTTTTTTATAAGTGACTTCCGCTTTCGTAGGTGTTTTTTTTTTTTTAACTCCAAAGACGTACGAATGTCACGTCCGACATCATGGAAACACAAAACAGAAAATGATAAAAAAACGGTGATTTTTGCGTAAGTATTAGTGGATTTCAGTGCATTCAAAGTTTGTGAGGCCTTGTTTACTTTTACTTGAGAATTGTCGAAATTGGCAAAACCAAAGTGGCGGTTTGCGGAATGTGCCACCTTTGTGTGCTACATCGTGATACATGCATACAGTTTAAGTTACATAAATAAAAGCTTGTAAAAATGGAGCTTCCGTTTAATCCATTCCCTGGTGATAACATTAAGGTGCACACTATAAACTGGCGCAGCAGCTCAGTCAAGCGCCAATTTGGTGTGTGTTTTTGATCTGAACAATCAATTACATTTAGGAAGTCAAACATTCCATTAACAGT